GCCATCAGGTGCTAATGATCCATTGTTAGGCTGATGGTCCTTCTTGAGCATGTGATCAGCTGGTTTTGGTTGTCAGCAGCAAACTGGTTGATCCACTCTGAGAAGGTGCTATTTAAGAGACTGAGCTGAATACAGCTCCTCAGACTGAGGAAGTCCTCAGGATGGAAGACGAAACATTTCTACATTTTTTTGTTGTTTTGCTTTGTTTTTTTTTTGAATGTCCAGAGGACCAGATTTAACTTTTTTAGATTTTTCTACCTGGATTATTGAGCATGCATCAGGATAAAACTAGTACTTATTACGTGCATGCCAAATATACTGCCTGAAAAAAAAAAAAAAAGTCTCCACCTGGATTTAACTAAGCAAACAGGTATGAGCCTCCTACTGGATAATTACTGCATGGGTGATCATCTTTCGGCTGCAACAAGTTATTTAACTCCAGCTGGTGCAATGAGTTGCTTCTCATTTCTTCAACAACCACGATGAATGACACGTGGCGTGGTCGTGGAAAGATGTAAAGTCTGTTTGAGAAGGGAAATCATTGGCATCAAGCAGAGAAAACATCTAAGGAGATTGTAGAAACTACAAAAAAAATAATTAAGAACTGTCAAACACATTATTAAAAACTGGAAAGATAGTGAGGACCCATCTGCTTCCAGAAAGAAATGTGGTTGAAATAAATCCTGAATGATCGTGATCGGCGATCACTTAAAACGTTTGGTGAAATCAAATCAAAGAAAAACACCAGCAGCACTCAGGGCTGTGGTTAACAGAGAAAGTAAGAACATTTCCACACACACAATGTGAAGGAACTCAAGGGACTGGGACTGAACAGCTGTGTAGTCTTAAGAAAACCACTAACCAGTGAGGCTAACTGGGAAAAAAAGGCTTCAATTTGCTAGGGAGCATAAAGATTGGACTGTGGAGCAATGGAAGAAGGTCATGTGGTCTGATGAGTCCAGACCTGTTCCAGAGTGATGGTGCATCAGGGTCAGAAGAGAGGCAGGTGAAGTCGATGCACCCATCATGCCTAGTCATCAATGCAAGATCTTGGTGAAAAATTTATGCAACTCTGGATGAAATAGATCTTGTGACATTGAAGCAGCTTATCAAAACAATGACACAGCGAATGCATGATGTAATCACAGCTAAAGGCGGCCCAACAAAATATTAGTGTGTCTTTTTTTTGGGCCAGGCAGTGTATGTACCTCTGTGTTTCCCCTACCATTATCCAAGGAGGGTGCCCCACCCTGCCAACAGAATCGAGCACCCTACCCACGTGTAGTGAACTAGACCTCCTACATCAATCTGCCTCTGAGGACCTTCAGGGGACAGGAACTGCTATTTCATTGATTTGAATCCAGAAATACAAATTATCTCATCAAGAGACTATTTAATTGTATCCTGAATTAATTGAAAGAACACTCTTCTTTTCTTTTATTATCATTAACTATTTTACAATATCTTGATAATCAAAAGTGCGTTTGGTTCATACCATTTCTAATGTTGAAGTAAACCACTCATTTAAATAAACTGTGAAACAGTATTAATGATTTTTAAACCTCATTAGACTTAGATCATACAAGTTAAACGTCTATTTACAAAGTAAGTGTGCATTTTAATCTTCTGTCTGAATGAGGAATGGATTTGATGTCGGTCAAAAGTCAGAGAACAAGTTATGAGAACGAAGTGCCTTGTTTTAAAACTCTCAGACAGTAAATAAGAACTGGCACCTGCGAGTCTCACTTCTTCAAAATATTTTCCTGTCTGTTGACTCCTAATAACCCTCTGACATCACTAAAACTCCACCCCTGCTGGTTGTGTTAACCAATCAGGAAGTACCACGTAACAGGAAGTGGATAGTCTTTAAAAGTCAACACTTCCTGGAACTTTCAGTCTTACTGGAAGACTCAGTCTTACGGCGAGTCTCACTGGAACTTTCAGTTCTTAATGGAGGCTGGGGTCTGACAGTCTCTACTCTAATGGCTGATGGAATTGGACCATGTGCCAAGGGTCCGTCCATTCCAGCGGAGTCACAGCACACAGCGAGGCGTGACTCTCGGACAGTTCTTCTGTCTGTTCTAGCACTTCCATATTTTTTAGCCACGCTGAACACTTCCAGACGGATCATAGTCTCTGTTAGACTTTAAAATTTAGGTTTTATAAATATAGCTTTTTGAAAGTGGAAATCTGAGGCCTCCTCCTCTGTTAAGAGATGTTTTTTCTGTTTTTACATAAATTGCTTCCTTCACCCCCCTCTCAAACCATCTGTGTTCTCAGTCCAAAATGTGCACATTTTGGTCCTCAAAAGAGTCTGTGAGGTGGAGGTGAACAGCTGAGTCTTGTCCTGTGGAGTTGGACCTATAACGCAACTTTAAGACTGATTCCCAGCCAGTTTTCACACCTGATGGGAACAGAGGGGCCTCATCAGTGAATTAGAGGAACAAAGACCTTAAGAAAGCCCTACTGTTAAGGTGTGAGGTGTGAATTGTCAATCTACATATGTATGTCTTATCTCAGCCTTATAACCTGAATCTCTCACTCGCTGCTCTTTGAATTGAGAAAGCTCCTCGGATGAGGAGCGAAACGTCTTCTGTTACAAATAAAGTCCAGTTGTTTTGTGTTGAACGTTTTTTTAATTCATCAAGTCCTGGATGACTGAGAATCTTCACCAGCAAGACGTTGGGAAATTTTCCACAAGTGAAGGCAGGTGGAGTAAAAATACTTTTCAGGTGTTTTTTTTTATTGAACAAAAATGTTTTCAAAGTTCATGTAGGAAATACATTATAATACAAATGTTGCACATACCAGACAAACAGAAGATCTAGAAAAGGGCATGAAAATGACTGGAGGGGCACGGGTCAGGAGATTAACCGAAATGAAACCCAGAACCAGAACAGACGTGGAAATCTGGTCTGAGTTTAGACTGGGAAACAAGTGGTTTATAGCAGAGCACAGAAAGGACCTCAGCTTATCAAACATCCTGCAAAAAACAGAACGGATGTTTGGAAATTAAATTTAATTCAAAAGAATCTTGATTCTATAAAAACCAAGACGGATCTTTAAATAAAATTAGTAGTTTTATTAAGAAGATCTTTAGTCTTCTTTTAGATAAAAGTAGATTTACTGTATAAAAAATAAAATAAAAATGAGAAAAAAGCCAATTGGAACTTTTTCATCTTAACATAACCAGAAGCTACTTCGATGGATTTAAACCGTTTCTTTTCTGAATATTTCCAGAGATATTATGTGTTTTGTCCTGTGAAATGACGTTTGGTACAAAGAATACAGAGAATTTTGTCACAGATTAGATGAAAATGGCTTCCTCACAGCACCAACACGACCGGAGGTGGATATTTTGTTCATCCCAACCTGCAGGGGGCAGCAGAGCCACCAAACCCAAACGAGGAGTCACCGCTGGGGTTTTGGCACCGAACTGAACAAGAAATAACGACATTCTGCGCGAGCAAACACTCAAAAGTTAGCACCGGTAGCAAAACCTGTCGGGACTCAAAAGAAATGAAATTTTACGGATTATTTTAAATATCTTCTCAACGATGGAACAAAATAAACTTTTATATTTAGGAACAGCTAACGATGAATCATTGCTGCACTGGAAAAATGCTTTTTAGATTTATGGTGAGCTACAAGCAGGCTCGTCACATCCAGTGAGTTTGTATGGTTCAGCTTAAATAAAAATTTACGAGGCGAGGTTTACCGTTTCATGAGTTATTGGCTGTTGTATCGAAGCAGGAAACAAACGTCTGCAGCCGCAGTGCGTAACGAGTGAGAAAAGACGGTGTGTTTGATGCTGGTATCAGTTTGACAGAACTTTGAGCATCAGCGTGGTGAAGGTTTTTTTTGGAAGCTTTTTAAAATTCAGACGTTAAAGGACATTTTGAAGTGGGGTTATGAGCGCTGGTACCACCATCACCCAACCCGCCGCCAACCAAACACCACCGAGACGAACAGTGGCCCAGGGGAAACCCTGCTCATGTTTCCCACACTTCAAACTGTCCAAACTATCCTTTTAAACCAAATGAAATTACAGAATTGATTCTGAACCATCAGGCTGATGTTTATAAAACACAATGAATGACCTAATCTGGTTTTATTGTGACAAATACTGAAATTACAAACCTGTTGTGGAGATAAAAAAAAAATACTTGAATCCTCTAAAGATTGCTGCAGTTTTTACATTTGTATGTGTGATAATTAATATTTTCTGCACATTTTCTTTTTCTTGTCTGTCAGATGAATCAAACAAAGGAACACTTTGTGAATAACTTTAGCTCCAATTTAGCTTTTTTGGGCCACAGCGGTGATTATCTGCTCCCTTTCCCAAAGCCGCCCTGACCTCCAGTGGAAACAAAAACTTTCAAAAAGGAAGTTAAAATGTTTTAATCCTTTCTTTTAGTTAAACTCACCTATTTTAATGGAAGTCTGGTACTTTCATCCCAACGATAATTTTTTTTTTTTTTTTTCTGACGATAGTTTGTGGCAGATAGAGCACAGCTAAGAAAATACCTAATTTTTAAACACATTTTGCTTTAGTTTATTTAAATTTAAGTATTTTAACAGCAACCCACAGTTGATACTTTGAGGCAGAATATCCTGCCCCATCAGTGAACATCCTCCCCAAACGAGCAGCTGATCGACTCAGATTGTTGTTATGAAGTTTGGTGTGGCGTAAATAATGTGTTGACAGTGAGAACGTTCCCGCAGCTGCCAGACGGACAGACATTTCCCAGCCCGTTAGGAAAAACATCAACTGTAAAGCCTTTCAGACCGGGATTCTTTTGTCGGGATCCAGAACACCCACAGAATCATCTCTGATCTCCAGCAGCAACAAAAGAAACTCACGTGAAACGTCTGCTCTGAACATGGACACAGCTGTGTGGAGGCTAACAAATAGAAAACACTAACACCTGCTAAAGGAGGTGTGTTTTGGGTTTGTGGGGGAGGATCACTTCTGCTGGAATCTGAAGTCTCTCAGCACGTGGTTGAGAGGTTGGATCTGTATCACCGGGGAAAGGTTGACCTGTAGGATCTTCTGAGCTTTCCTGCAGGCCTCGGCCACAGGGCGAGAGTCGTCCACTTTTATCACTTTTTGCCTGAAACTTTTGTCTTTCCAGTTGTCTCTCAGTTCCTTTGATCCCCTAACTTCTCGGTGGAGGCCATTGGCCCTCCAGCCGTTGCTGGTCAGGTTCGTGTGGGCCTGTGGGAACGCCCGACCATTGGCATAAAAGACTGGAGCAGAATCCCCGATTAGGGCGCCATCCGACCGAATCGGACAGGACAGGTTCTTCTGGCTGAACAAGGCCACAGCTTTGGTGGACACCCCGTCACCGTTCTGAGAAGGTATTCCTGAAAGTGTTGGGGGGTGCGGCTGCAGTGGAAAGATAACCGAGCTCGTCTCAGAGTCCCACACAGTCTGGATTTGAAGTCTTGCTGTGTGGAAGCCAGACAGACCTTCAATGTTGGTCAGTCTGAGGCATGGCTGCAGGTCCACCTGCGACAGCTCTACAGTTCGACTGGGTGTCCGGCTGTATACGAAAGCGCGATGATCAACCAACACCTCCGGAGGCCGGATTCCTCGAATCCTGGGCTTACTCTTATCTGACATGTTCCAGGACGGATGCACCTCCCTCTTCTTGACCTGGGGCTTTCTCTTCCTCTTCTTGGTGGTGGGTCTGACGTTCTTGTTGGCCAGCTTCAGCATGTCTTGGGTCAAGGGCTGACTCGTGCAAGATTGGTAGCGATAAACATCCTTGCTGCGCAGCACACGGGGCTTGTGGCCCTCCTCGCTCAGCTCCTGCAGGAAGGTCACAAGCTCCTCTGTGCTGGAAAGGTCTCTGGACATCGGGCTCAGGATCTTCAGAGCATCCACGAGGACATTATGCCCCGCTGATGAAATCCGAGACCAGGAGTGTACAGCCCTCCGCTCCTCGTTGGCGAACGCCAACGGCCGACTGACCATGGGACCTTGAGGTGCGTCAGCCATGTTTTTAGATCTGCAAACAGAAAAAGGTCACAATAAGTACAAACTAGAAAATATCTGAAGAAATGTTGAGGAATCCAGCACATCTGTAACAAGTTAAACTGACAAAAGGCTAACGTTTAGATGTATAACATACAGGTATATATCAAAAACTCTTGAACTGTGAGCGGCAGAAGGCTCTGGTGGTCACACAAAGGCATGAATAAGACTTGTTTTTTGTTTTTTTGCCACAAACTAAACCTCGTGTTCTTTCTTGTGTGTTGAGTCTCTTTGGATCTTAGAATGGCTTTTTACAGTGCCTTGTATTCGACCCCCTTGAACTTTTCAACCTTTTGCCACATTTCAGGCTTCAAACAAAGATATTAAATTTTAATTTTTTGTGATTAACCAACAACAAGTGAGACACAATCGTGAAGTGGAATGAAATTTATTGGATGTGTCAAACTTTTTTAACAAATAAAAAACTGAGAAGTGGGGCGTGCAATATTATTCGCCCCCATTGCGTTAATACTTTGTAACGCCACCTTTTGCTGCAGTTCCAGCTGCAAGTCTCTTGGGGTATGTCTCTATCAGTTTTGAACATGGAGACACTGAAGTTCTGCCCATTCTTCCTGCAAAACATCTGGAGCTCAGTGAGGTTGAATGGAGAGCGTTTGTGAACAGCAGTCTTCAGCTCTTTCCACAGATTCTCGATTGGATTCAGGTCTGGACTTTGACTTGGCCATTCCAACACCTGGATATGTTTATTTGTGAACCATTCCATTGTAGATGTTGTCTGCTTCCCGATAAGCAAAGGTAACCACTGGAAGTAGCGATAAGCACCTTTGCTTGCAGCCTCTCCTCCAAGGGGTCCGGAAGCTTACTTCAGCGCCGTGGTATTACCTGTAGCTATCTAAAGTAGCCTCATTAAGGCTGCGACGAGGTGATTCATCCAGAATATTAACGACCTTAAATCCGTGAGTCACACCCTGATCTCACTCTGTTACCTCGAACCTCCAAGCAGCAGGGATGGATCTTCTGGTCCAGAGAAACTCGCGTTGTGGCCGCTCACCTCTCACTTTAGCGTTGCAATTGTTAACTGTTCTGGTAATTTTTAGGGCCCTGGAAATGGGCACAAGGGTGTTGTCTCTCATCTACTAGGAAACCTTTACAAAAACCTCCTTTATTGGTGTTGTTAAGTGAACCAAGCATTACCATATTTTTGTTCATTAAGGGTGAAATAATAGTCCAGAATTATTCATTTTGCGTTGCTTTAATCAATAGTTTGGCAGGTGATACAGCATCAGGCACAATTTTATAATGATTAAATTTCATGAGTACATAGGATACACTTTCTTCCCTAAGTGAGGCGATGACTACTATCTGAGGAATTCTAAACTCAAGAGCCCTTGAGTATTTATAGATACTGCCTTCACATAGACCTTTCACAAATCAAGCCAGAAGATGTTCTCCCTCAACTCCCTCATGAACCAGAAGCATCTTCGAGCAAGTCTCACCAGTAACCAATTCAGTACTCCCAAATTTATTCTGTATGCTGTTCTTCCAATTTGATGAAACAATTTAATCAGGGCAGAGTAAGAATGAGGTCGTCCGCTTACCATGATTTTGAGGCGACCCTTAGTGAGTCACTGTGATGGTAAGGGCATATTTCCAGTTCTCTAGGAGAGAGATACTGGCCGAACTTCGAAGGCAAGCACAGCTATCCCAAATTAGAGGATCAGAATTTTGGACGGGCCCAGGTCAAGCTATTAATAGAAGTAGGAAGCTCATCCAGTTTAAGTATCGATGAACGAGAGCTTAAATCCAATCCCATCTCGGTGAAGAAAAGAATTAACTTCCAACATCGTCTTAAGACTGGTAAAATCCAACTCCTTTTTGGGCTCCTTCTGATCCGACGAGCTGCCTCTTGCCTGTAATTCCCTCTGCTCGGCTCTCCAGTTCAGCTTTGACTCTGCATTGACCAAGTTCAATCTGTTCAGTCTGTATTTAAAGACCTCTTTTTCCCTCCTCCTCTTAAGGAGGGGTTTTGGAAAATTACATCATCTCTTTTCCAGTAACTCATCTGCTGTTTTGCACCTCAACCGGTTTAGACCAGTTTTCTGGTACTTTCCAGAACTTTGTTTTGCTCAAAAATGCGTCATCATGAGATGAGCTGAGTTTGAACTCCTTGACTTCTTGTTCTCTTTCTACTGCTCGAGGCAAGCCCAGGCCTGTCCTAGGTGGACATGTCTGGACCTGTTCACTGTTACATGAGGCCTCAGCACTGCTCTTCAACTTCACTACTTCACAAGTAAAAGTAAATCACACAATCATACAATAGATTATACAATTTCTTAAAGATCAATACTTTCATTAGTTGATTATTTGTTGATTATTAGTAAAACAGTAAAACACTTTTGGTTACACATTATCATTTTTAGCTTGATTTAAAGCAGGAGTTCAGTCCTTCTGTTCTCAGCTGCTGAGGAGAACTTTGATCAGGCTTCACCTTTATTAAAGCTGGTCGTCTGTCATGCATCATCGCTACAGACACCAGGTTTATTGACAATGTGTCTTTATGTTTTGGATCATCGTCTTGTTGGAAGATAAATCTCCGTCCCAGTCTAAGGTCTCTTGCAGACTCAAACAGGTTTTCTTCCAGAATGGTCCTGTATTTGGCTCCATCTATCTTCCCATCAATTCTGACCATCTTCCCTGTCCCTGCTGACGAAAAGCAGGCCCAAACCATGATGCTGCCACCACCATGTTTGACAGTGGGGATGGTGTGTTCAGGGTGATGAGCTGTGTTGCTTTTACGCCAAACATATCATTTTGCATTGTGTCCAAAGAGTTGGATTTTGGTTTCATCTGACCAGAGCACCTTCTTCCACATGTTTGGTGTCTCCCAGGTGCTTGTGGCAAACTTTAAACACTTTTTATGGACATCTTTGAGAAATGGCTTTCTTCTTGCCACTCTTCCATAAAGGCCAGATTTGTGCAGTGTATGACTGATTGTTGTCCTATGGACAGACTCTCCCACCTCAGCTGTAGATCTCTGCAGTTCATCCAGAGTGATCATGGGCCTCTTGGCTGCATCTCTGATCAGTCTTCTCCTTGTTCCAGATGAAAGTATAGAAGGACGGCCGGGTCTTGGTAGATTTGCAGTGGTCTGATACTCCTTCCATTTCAATATGATTGCTTGCACAGAGCTCCTTGGGATGTTTAAAGCTTGGGAAATCTTTTTGTATCCAAATCCGGAGTTAAACTTCTCCACAACAGTATCTCGGACCTGCCTGGTGTGTTCCTTGGTCTTCATGATGCTCTCTGCGCTTTGAACAGAACCCTGAGACTATCACAGAGCAGGTGCATTTATACGGAGACTTGATTACACACAGGTGGATTCTATTTATCATCGTCAGTCATTTGGGACAACATTGGATCATTCATAGATCCTCACTGAACTTCTGGACTGAGTTTGCTGCTCTGAAAGTAAAGGGGTCTAATAACATTGCACGCTAGGAATGCGCGATATAAATGGTACACGGTAGAAACGATCGAAATTTAGCCTACGATATAGATCTGTCTTCTACCGGCTAACCGCAGTAATGCTGTGTCTGAAGTAAAATTAGGGTTTTCAGTTTAATTGATACTTTTTTTTAGTTGAAAACTTTGCGTAAGTAGTGTTCAAGTGTAAAATCAGAGCTGTCAGATTTAATCGTTACTTTTTTTGAGTTGAAAACTATGCGCAAGTGACGATAAAGTATTTTATTTGAGAGCTAAGTAGTGAAGCTATAAGCTAGCTACGGCCGGCTTGCCGTAGTGTTGCCGTATTCGGACGCATGCGCAAAACGCTGTGTTCCGTCGAAAGTTTTTTTTTTTTCCCCTGTCGAAAGTTAAAGTAAGCGTTGGCCATCTTTAGAGAAACTTGCTCTCTGATCTGTGAAAAGAACGCTGTGTTGTATGATTTTACTGCAAGACCCTCTGGTCAAAGCCAAAGACTCATTTTGTGTCAGCTCTCCTTTAAAGCTGAAGGTTTCGCCCACTAGAGGGTTGGAGGGTGAAGTGTTTTCAGTTGCTGCTCTGTTGTTCATTTCTCAAGTGAGAAGACTGGAAACTGGTAAGTTAACAACATTTTTTTTTTTTTTAAACATATGGCTAAAACTACATTTGATCTTTTGCACGTTTTGCACTACATGCAAGAAGCCTAATACTTGATTTGTTTATTATTTAAAAACTCTCTGGACCTAGTAGTGGAATTTTTTTAATTCAAAATATATGATGGCAAAATGACACCCTATGCTTTTTAAAATTCCTATTAAGTTTTATACCAGAAACATATTGCGATATATATCGTTGTCACCACCCTTCACAATACATATCGTGATATGAATTTTATGCCATATCTCACATTTCTATTGCACCCCCCACTTTTCAGTTTGTTTTTTTTTTGTTAAAAAAGTTTGACACATACAATAAATTTCATTCCACTTCACGATTGTGTCCCACTTGTTGTTGATTCTTCACAAAAAATTAAAATGTTATAGCTTTATGTTTGAAGCCTGAAATGTGGCAAAAGGTTGAAAAGTACAAGGGGGCCAAATACTTTTGCAAGGCACTGTAACTATACATGACTTAATGTGTCTCAATAAAATAGATTTAGAACCCAATGGGGGGTCCAATTTTTTTTTGCAAGTGGCCAAAATTAAAAACCTGTCCGAGGGCCACCAAGACACCCCGCCCCTATCTAGGATTCCCTGATGACATCTCAATCTTAATGGTCCCTGCTTACCTCCCCCCGCTGAGACGCTCCAGACCGGTACAAACGAAAGTTAAATGTTGGATCCAGGACAGTGGCCCCATACTGACAGATTATTTTGAATGAACAGACTGGCAGGTTTTCAAAGAAGCTGCTGAAAATGGAGGATCGCTTAATCTGGACCAATACGCATCAGTTCTGGGTTACATTAGTACATGTACTGACACCGTCTCCACTATCAGATATGTTAAAAGCTACCCAAAAAGAAAACCTTGGCT